TTGGCTCTAGGCAAGAACTTAGTCCTGTTATGCCCTAAAGTGCTAGCATAGCACAAACAGCCAAAGACCCTTAGGTCTGATAAGTCTGGAGGATGTCCATATAACACATCATAGGGTGTTTTATTGGCAATGGCAACAATAGGCAGCTTATTAATGAGGAAAACAACATGTTGGATAAAGTCTGGCCATAATTTAAGAGGAAGTCCAGACTGAAACTTTAAGGCCCTAGCTACATTTAGGATATGTTGATGTTTCCTTTTTACTCGGGCATTTTGTTGGGGAGTTTCAACACAGGACATTTGGTGAATTATCCCATGTTGAGAATAAAACTCAGGTATATGAAACTCTGCACCCTGATCTGATCTAACAATTTTAACTTTCTTCTCAAACTGTGTTTGGATCATAACAAAAAAATCTTGCAACAACTTTCTGGCTTCACTTTTAAATTTCATCAAATAAGCCCAAACACACCTAGACTTGTCATCTACAATGGTAAGGAAGTATTGGAAACCATTGTAACTGGAAACAGCAAGGGGACCCCATATATCAACATGAATAAGTTCAAACACACTCTTTGCCACAAACTGGCTTGAAGGAAAAGGAAGGCGTTTCTGTTTGGAAAGAGGACAAACTCCACAATGACTAACAGAATCAAAATCTATACTAGGTACAGTTTTCTTCAATTCCTTAGTCCTATGGTCAGAAGGATGCCCAAGTCGCCAATGCCATAAATCAAAGGACTGTGGTGTAAGGTTGTGAGTCTTGATGGAATTAACATGAATGGAATGGTCTTCTGTGGTATGAGGTGTGAGTTGGTAAAGACCTTTGGTCTCATGGGCAAAACCAATCATCTTCCTGGTTAGAAGGTCCTGGATATGACAAATGGTTGATTTAAAAGTGAGTGAGATAGGTAAAGACTGAGTGAGTTTACTAACTGAGATGAGATTAAAAGAAAAGGTTGGGACAAACAAAACACCATGAATAACAAGATTTGGTGTTAATCTAACACTACCAGAATGTATAGCAGGTGTCTTTGTCCCATTAGGTAGGGTAATAAACACATTCTGAATAGGTTTATATATAGTAAAACTAGATAGTGAGCAAGAAACATGATCTGCTGCACCAGTATCTAGGAACCACACATTAATCAATTCCAATGGATGCTGCTGGTAACATGAAGAAAGAGTGAATTTACCTGCAAAATTTGGGTTCACAGACATGTGCCTGCTCACAGAGTTAACCATTGGTTGCTGTGGTTGATGTATTCCAGTAAGAGCTGTTCCAGGTGATCGAGGAGAGGTGGGAGAGCTGGGTGATCCAAACTGAGTAAGGATTCTCTGGAGTCTGCCAATGTCATCATTTGACAGCCTGATGTTAGTAAAGCCATCAACTGACTCAGATGAAGCCCTCGTTTCTGGTTTTGGAAGGATCCCCCCTCTTGGAACTTCAGCCCCCCTGTAACTGTCCTGCAAATCCAGATGAAGAACCTGTCTCCTAGTTCTTCCTTTTCAACTTGTAGCAATCTGAGATAACGTGGCTATATTTCTTGCAGTATCTGCAGAACAGTGTACCCTGAGCTCCCTTAACATTCTCCTTTCCTCTAGTCTGATTGTTTGCTAAGAGAGCCACAGAATCAACTTGAGACTCCTGACCTGGCTTAGAGACTTGTCTCTCATGCTGGATTGCATAATGAAATGCTGTCTCCATGGTTGGTAAGGGGACCATCATCAGCAGATTAGTCTTAACCCCTCCATATGTCTCATTCAAACCAGTAATGAATCGAGTCACAAACTCATTCTCTCTGTATTTCTTCACTGTGGTCTCAGTGACACAAGGTACATTCCTATCCCTATGTTCTCCTCCACATTCACAACTAGGGATTGGCAAAAATTGAACTAATTCTTCCCAGAAACCCTTCAATTCAGAGTAGAATTGGTTCACAGACTTGTTACCTTGTTTAAGGGTGTATACAGTTGTCTGGAAGTCACTGATTCGGATGTTATCTGCTTGACCATAACGCTGTCTTAAATCATCCCAAAGAAGCTTGGCGTTGTCTTTAGAGGAGACACTGTTCACCAAGCTTGGGTCAAGAGACCCTAAAATCAGAAAGTAAACAGCTGTATTGCTTTGCTCCCAGGCTTGATAACTTGCATCTGTCGGATCTGGAACAGGGATAGACCCAGTGATGAAACCCAGCTTGTTCTTGCTTTTCAGGGCAACTCGAACGGTTCTGCTCCACAGGTTGTAGTTTGCAGTACCTGTGAGCTTGATTGGGAAGCTCAAAGCTTCATTAGGGTTGATGTAAAAGGGGTTTGTGACTGTGGTAAGAGGAGTGGTAGTGGCAATGGTAGAACTGGAGCTGGAAATGGTAGCCGCTTCAGTCGTCATGGCAAAAGAGAATGCAGCAACAAAGAGTAGGTAGAAGGAAGAATGTGGGTATGGCGGAAAACAAAACCCTAGTTCTGAGAACCAGGCTCTGATACCATATGAGAAAACAACAAAGGTATTGTGAAAGAACCCGCAAAGGGATCTTTTGGTGGCTCAAGGCCTTTTATTCATCCATCTACTTCTCCAAGAAGGAGACTCTACTGTACAAAAGTTACCAAGAGGTAACGGTAACAAACGAACAAAACCTATCTACCAATAAGATAAAGACAGTTGTAATATGTACAGTAAAAACAGAAATCTCCTTAACACATAATCAAAACGACAACGCTCTACTCAGCTCCTCTGTTGCTTCCGAGGGAAACGTCACCGTATAGAAATCCATAGTGCCTTAGGAGATCAACCAGCTTCCTTCGTGTAACCTGCAACTGCATCTCCAATACTCTCAAACTAATTGTACCTGAAATAGTATCACTCTTCTCATCGACGACCCAAGAGGCTGCCTGTTGAAAAACAAAAAAGGAAAATGTAAGCATCCCACCAGACTGTGAATCATATAAATGACTCTATTGCCCTATATCTTTTCACATCGCAGCCGTAACTATAGATCATGAAGTCGACCAATATCCACCAGCCTTCAGCAGAGCCGAACAGGTGGTCATTTGCGACCGAGTCAGTTCTGAAATAATCAAGCTTCATCATCATCAAACTATCAAGTGAAATTTTAAAAGAACCAAAAGGATAGGAAGGGCATTGGACCCATCACTCGACTTTTTTGTTACCCATCAACGTCCTGAACAACAATAGATCCACCAGGTTCCCACCATCATACCCTGTCGAGCGGAATCTGGGAAAAAATCTCACTCCAATCACCCTCTCCGGCTCTCCCTATATCTAACAGACCCACCCAAAAACAAATGATGCATTCAGTTTCTGCAAGACCAACGCGAGGAAAGGCTAACAAAAGGGTCCTCGAGATCCAACCGAAAACATGCAATTCCATTCAAAGGCAACCAGAGCTCACCAACACCCGCACACACCCAATAATCATCCGAGTTGTAACAGTAAAATGTGTCTATATGCACAGTGAAAGGTTTCTGCTTGTACAGTGATTGGCCCGTTAGTGGGTTTTCTTTTTTCAATTTATCGTAGGTTTTATTAGACTTTTCTCACCTCAACTTCTCATCGTCAATGTTTTCAATCATGGAATTAAACCTACATCATATTAAAATTTTCAAGTTTGGAGGTGTTCGAACCATTATTTATATGTATATATTTAACTATTAATTACGTATGCAATTATTTGATATTCAGGAATACTGATACCATACCAAAATATTTGGGATTAGGGGACCAATTTGATTTTGAAATCAAAATTGGGATTGATATTAAGATGCTATTCGGTATTTAATACCGATATACATATATTGTACTCATTTCCACCCTACTCATACGGTATGACCTTCAATCTAAGTATGGGTGGCTGGTTAGTTTCCGGTTAGCGGCTAACTGATGGGTTTAACCTATAACCGTTAACCGTTGGTTAGCGACTAATCAAAAATCGAAGGTATGTAACCTCGGTCGGTGGTCGGCAAGGGAGAGGGACTGTTCGGTTAGCTGAGTAACAGGAGACAATTAACTACAGTTACCCTACTAAACGAAGCTAACCGACCTCTGCCCAATTATTGTCAAACGAAGGTATGTAACCTTGCCAGTCCGCCCGGATCTTCGCTCCGTCGCTCGCCCCCTCCCTCTTCTTTTCCTTGCTGCAGCGACCAGACAGGGCCCCCGCCACCAGTCCGCCCGTCCTCTCTTCCACTCGCCCCCACGACCCCGGATCTCCGCTCCACCGCTCTCCCCCTTCCTCTTCTTTTCCTTGCCGCAACGACCATAGAAGCAGAGACCGAAAACCAAAATTTCGATTGCACGGCTAATCGAGCCAAAAACTAGAAACAAACCGGTCAATTGATCGGCTACCCGTGCGTCTCTGTCGGTCGGTCATCGATGACCGTCTAGTCATGGTTCGGCTAACCGATAACTGAGTTTTTCGATTAAATCGAAACCGACCGTACCCACCCGTAATTCTAAGTAACATTATGTTGGTCAGGTACGAGTCACATAAGATTGGAGGTCATAATACATAAACTTATATAGCAAAGAAATGGTTGGAGTTGAAATATGTTAGGTGATTGACTCTTCATTGATGTACTGGTACTGCCCACCACCAGCTATGAGTATCATATTTGAGTAGTGCCTTTCATTCATTCTTTTTCCTGTTTCTCCTTTTCATTTGTTTTTTTATGCATCTCTTTCATTGCCATTTTTCAGGCCTGCAAGCGAAAAAGCTACCCCTGCGATGATGGTTCAATTGCAGATTTAACCCAATACAAAAAAAAAAAAGAAAAAAGGACAGTACAGAAGCCAAAAACCAAATATTCAACCAAGCATCATAAAGCCTAGCAAGCTATTTACTCATTATCATAATATATTTTTACCGCGACCTATCGGCCTACTACCTCATCTAGTCCCACCCTCGAGTTGTCCTTTGCGTTACCCCCTTGTGTCTTCCACTGAGCAGCAGCAGACAGCAAGCAAGCAAAGCCTTTCTTCATTTCTTTTATCTTTTTACTCTTTCAAAAGGAACAAACACTTCTCCTTCCTTCCTTTCCACTGCACTTTTGTCCCCAAGCCTCTTCCATTTCTCACACTCTCTACTTCCTTCCATCTATTTGACTTTCTGGGAAAAGAAACTCTGAAAGCATGGCAATGGCATTGAGGCTTCAGCAGTTGATGGTTTTGGTTTTGGCTTCCATGGTGGTAGGCTCAGTTTCTTTATCATATCATCCGGATGAGATTTCCAGGCTTCCAGGGCAACCCCACGTTAGCTTTCGCCAATTTTCTGGGTATGTGACTGTGGATCACAAAAAGCACACTTCTCTTTTCTACTACTTGGTTGAAGCTGAAACAGATCCAGCTTCCAAGCCATTAGTTCTCTGGCTCAATGGAGGTAATTAGCAATTTCTTAACCCCTACTTCTTCTTTCTCTTCTGAACCGAAAATGGACGATCTTTGATGAGCCCTTTGTTCCCCTGTGCGTGGGGAAATGCAGGGCCTGGATGTTCTTCCCTTGGAGTTGGTGCTTTCTCTGAAAATGGACCGTTCAGACCCAATGGCAAGAATTTGGTCAGAAATGGTTATAGTTGGAACAGAGGTACCTATCCAAATGGTTGTGGAGTTAAGCCAAGTCCGTTGTTTTTTTTTTTTGTGTGTGTTGAATTTTCTGAAATGGTTGCAGAAGCAAACATGTTGTACTTGGAGACACCAGTTGGGGTGGGATTCTCTTACTCCATCGATAACTCTTCTTATCTTGCTGTCGACGATGAGGCAACAGGTGCTACTACCAACTACTAAATCAAATTCCACCCTTCATTATTAGTCTCCATATGCAAGCTTCTAGCGAAGTTTTATGCTTGTTTAAAGTCTCTGTATCTCTTTTTTTGTTGCTTTCTAAAGCTAGGGGCAACGTTGTATTCTTGCAAAGGTGGTTCAACAAGTTCCCTCAATACAGGCAGAGGGATCTGTTCATAACAGGAGAAAGCTACGCTGGGCATTACATTCCACAACTGGCAAAGCTGATGCTTCAAATGAACAGAAAGCACAGGATCTTCCATTTGAAAGGGATTGCAGTAAGCACTAAACCACAGCTACACCTTTTCTGTAGTAGTGGGCCAACAAGTGAATTACTTTCTAAATTAACTGAATTCTACAACTTGGGGGGTGTGGTTTGGCAGATGGGCAATCCGGTGCTGGAATTCGCCACGGATTTGAACTCGAGGGCCGAGTACTTCTGGTCACATGGTCTGATTTCAGATTCCACGTACAAGCTCTTCACTTCCGCCTGCAACTACTCCCGATATGTGAGCGAGTACTACAGGGACTCTGTCTCCAACCTGTGTGCTGACGTCATGAACCAGGTCACCACCGAGACCAGTAGGTTTGTGGACAAGTACGATGTCACCCTTGATGTCTGCATTCCATCGATACTCTCACAATCTAAGGCTATATCTCCCAAGGTATTATCATTAAGGCTCCTACCCACCTCATTCACTCTGTGTATTTGCTTCCACTTCCTTTCCTTTTGGGCTCACAGTCCGAGTGGGCAGGGATTATCTGAGGCGATCGATGTTTGCGTGGAGGACGAAACTGTAAATTACTTGAACCGGAAGGATGTTCTGGCGGCACTCCATGCTAGGCTTGTTGGAGTCAGAAGATGGGAAGTTTGCAGCAAGTAAGTGCATTGTACTCTTGCATCGGAAGCTTTGATTTAGTTGGTACAGTGAGCGTTTCTTGGATGGGAAGTTCCCTAAGCACATCTACTTGTTTTCTGCAGCATTCTGGATTATGAGGTGCTTAACATAGAGAAACCAACGATTTCGATTGTTGGATTGCTTGTCAAGGCAGGAATCCGGGTACTCGTTTACAGGTAAAAGAAGAAGATATTAGCACCCTTGTTTTCTTCTTCTTCTTGAACAGCAAGCTGTTTGATTGAGTTGTGCAGCTTGTAGTTGAGCAAACCATAACATGTTCCTTCTAACAGCGGAGATCAAGATTCAGTTGTTCCATTAATGGGTAGCAGAAGTCTCGTCCATAGGTTGGCAAGGCAACTGGGGATGAACACAACAGTACCTTACAGAGCTTGGTTTGCTGGTAAACAGGTGAAATCCCGAAATGAGTTCTTTGTTGAAGTCCTGAGAATCAGTCATGTGCAGAAATTTGAGCTGAATGTTTTCCTTTCTAACTTGTAGGTTGGGGGGTGGAATCAAGTTTATGGCGAAATGCTATCATTTGCAACGATAAGAGGTGCATCCCATGAAGCTCCATTCTCACAGCCAGAGAGATCGCTTATGCTGTTCAAGTCATTCCTGGAAGGCAAGCATCTTCCTGAAGTCTTCTGAGATGCTGTAGTTAGTTAGTGGGAAGGTGAATCCAGACTTTAGTGGTTGAGACTTTTGATTGATTGATTGATTTCATTGTACATAAGCGATATCATGTGGGGTGTTTGATTTGATTTGCTCTCCCACAGCCCAAAAACAGGGAGGGTTTGGTGAGTGTTTGAGTGCCTTGTTCTTGAGCTGTTAAATTTCCATGCCAGGAAAAAGAAGAGAAGAATGAAACTATTTGAAATGAAGGGAAAATGTGGCTGCGGAAGCTATTGATTGCTCTTATAAAGTGATAACTAGACTACATCCAAGGCAAAGTGCTTTCCCTTTTTGACATATTTTATTGTGATCAGCACATAACCAAACGAAACTGAATACGGGGCTTGACCGAACTTTTTGTAATTACTAATTAATTAATACTAGTTTTCTTACCGGCGCGCTGCGCCGGGATAAGTATTATATTTCAGTTCATCATAAGAGGAAAAAAAAGTACACTAATTAATTTACATCACATGAACACACAATTAACAGTACTTAATATCCAAAACAAAAACATTTTTTTTTCATTTTATTCTCCAAGTAACAGCAGCATTAAGACATTGAAAGTTCCGGTCTCTTTTAAGACATTGAAAGTTCAGGTTGCACCAAGAAATAGCTCTGCAGCGTAATAAGTGCAAAATGTTTACATGTTTTCAGTTTGCTAATTAATGAACATCTTAAAATCAACACAGCTAAATTGGACCCTTGTCCAAGATTTTCAGGGGGACAATGCAGCTTAGCAAGCAAACTGAAGCCTGCCAAATAGTTGCAGGCAGCCCATAAAGCAATTACAATCTCAGTGGGAGATAATTAGCACACTTTCTCAATAGAATAAGTCTTGCTAACCAACAAAAACTCATTCCAATCAGCACACGTTGCAAACCATTAAATTCCCACTGAAACACATGATAATTACATACATTCCAAAGAACTTGGTTAGAAGCACACCATAAGACAGTTACAGGCCCACATTCCTACATTCATCACATCACACCCAATTGTCCAAATCAAGAGCTTCCGAATCCAACAAAAGCGAGAAGATATGATGCCCACCTATCAGCAACAAATATCAACAACCTGTCAAACAATGAGACATCAACTCTTATTATTAAAAGAGAGAGAGATCAACTCACCTGCTTAGGAAGGAACAAAAGAAGAACAAACTCCAACATAAACAGATCCTGGCAAGTTTGATAAACCAGATCAGAAAGACAAAAACGGGTTAACATTAAATTACAGAGAAAACCATATATGTACCAAGACGAAAACAGAGAATAGATCAATGCACTCCCGCCAGAGAGGAGATGATGTTCAACAAAATATGGGAAGGAAAGCCTTAACTGTAATCCAATATATTCGGCTTTTCCAGAGAAGAACTGGTAGATCTCCTCGTGTGGTCAACCAGATTTGAGAATTAATTAACTTTGATAGTCTCAATCTGCACAAAAATTACCAAAGCAACATCAACCAAACCTGACTTCCAAACAAAATTAAAACGCAAAGAATAAAAGCTATTAGGAACTTGCATATTTGTGCAGGCACTATGCTCTTTCCACGCTCATGAGTAGAAGGCGCAGAATGATCGAATTCCTCGCACACATCAGCGGAAATTCGGGTCGCCGCCTCTCAAATACCCTTGTCGCCTGGAGATCTCCCAAGATTCCGAACCTAGCGATTCCAGTTCCATACCAGACACCATTCCCATGTTCTTCAAGTTACCTCCTCTTCTCCGCTTTCATCTTCCTGACCCGTTTCTCATACCCGTGCAACACCAACTCTAACACCCAAGGAAATACGTACCCTTCCATAACCAGCACCGTTTCTGCCTTGCGTTAGTAGGATCATGTTACCCAGAGGATTGAAGAGCTCGTGCCCTTGTACAATAATCCCTTTGGACTCATCGAGCTGGCAACAGCAAAACACTTTTCAGATCTGCAAAACTCATCAACAATCCTCCATTTCATATCATGGGACCCACTAAACAATACTCAAACTCAACAGAGATAAGAAATAATCACCTGAAGCCAAGAAGAACCCACGATCCGAGTGTTCCCCCACATACTCTCCAGATCGTAAATACCAAATGTCCTCTTCATCGGAGACGTACTGTAACTCATGGGTTCAGTGTTTCACTCGTCCATGGCAACGACCACGGAGCTGAGATGAGAGAGAGAAAAGGGAAAGATGAGATGTTGCAGTGATATTGAGTGAACTGAGATAGAAGAGTAAGAGTGATATCACATTTGTAAGAGGGCTTTCCAACTTCCACCGTGTTTCAGTCAAAAAGTAATAATGAGGCAGACGAAAAAATCATGATGGGCCCTCATCTCTAAGATTTGGCTGAGATTTTTTACTCCCTGATCTATCTAGTCACTGACCCTCTCTCTTCTCTCTGTAAGTTGAGAAGACTGATACACCATCTCTCACCAAAAAGCATCAATGGGACAAATCGGCGATTGAAATCCCATCTCCAGAGCATCCATCACCAAAACCCTCAACACCCAAAAATCATCGGGCCTACAAAAGAATCCCTGTGACCAACGCGATTTTTCTCTGATCGTGCTCCAGGTCACCCCAAACAAAAGCAAGAAATCACACACACAAACGACGACAGGAGGACACAAAGGCCCCACCAAAGCCCAACGACCAATCAGAGCTCGATGAACAGGAAAATCGAGTCTGTATGAACAGTAAAAACAGTCTAGATGTACAGTGCCAGGCGTATTGAGCTATTATACTTTTAATAGAAACACCATCAAGTGGGAGAAAAGGAGGTGTGGTGGGGTGAAATAAAGTATAGCGCAGTATACAAAACCCAAAATTTTGTTGTACTACACAATCTGAAAGGATGGTTAGATTGTGGACATCATGGGGAGGTTGCTGACAATTGCTCTATGAAGAAAGGGGAAGAGAATCGAAAAACAGAAGAGAATACAAAGGAAGATGATGCTACGGCCTCCAGCCCTGTGATTAGGTCAGAGATCCTTGAGGACTATGGGTCGTGCATGGTGGCCACACGACCAAGAAGAAAAGGAAACCAACAGAGAGTTAGGAAGGCAGAGAACAAGAACATTGGAGAAAGTAGGGAAGAAGCAACTACACAAACAGGATCTTGGTTTAGCGCATTGGAAGCAGAGGAAGAGATCGCAGCTACAGAGGAGGATCACGGTAAAACCAATGAGACATTGATTCCATCGGCTTCGACGATGAAAAAATAGTCAGGAGATCTAGCAAAAAATCAGAAGAAGAAAAAAACCAAGGAAGGACGACAAGATAAAGATAAGCAGGGGAAAAAGGAAAAGGGAAAGACAAAAGAAGAAGGAAGGAAAGATCAGAAGCAAAATCAAAAGACAGTGACCCAAAAGGATAACCAAAAATCTTCTCCAAAAATGCCTAAGCAGGTAACTGGCATGGCATCCAGTTCAACCACAACAAAGGCTAACCTCAATATTAAGCATGACACAGAGAAAAGAGTACAGAAAGGGGATAAATCCCTTGTTGGATTGACTAAGCTGATCAAACCCACCAACCACCAGACACCCCAGCATCAGGAAGGACTGGAGCAAGCAAGGGGATGACAGCTGATGCCAGAAATGGACATCAACCTAAAATGAGGCCACCTACTAAAGAGAATGAGACCAAGGAAAGCAACAAAAGGGTTACTTGAGACCCAAGTCTCAGAGGTGATCCAGCCAAGGAAAATTGACTTTGCTTCAGGAATGAAGGAAAAGCCACTTGTGCCAGAAAATGCACATGAGCGAATGGATGCAGCAGTCACTGGTGCTCCTGAGGACCAAACGACGGTGATGGTCGTCGACAACCCTGGTTCTTGACTAGTGGGGGTGCAGGGAAAGATTCTTTTCTATGTCAATTGTTAAGATTTTTTCCTGGGACTGTAGGGGTGCTCAGCACCCCAAATTTCTTTCTACGTTTGAGTACTACAAGGCTAGTTATAGCCTTGAAGTTGTCTTCATCCTTGAGCCTAGAATCAGTGGGGAGGAAGCAGACAAGGCTATCAAATCCCTTGGATTTGATACTTGGAAAATTTCGGATGCAGTGGGGTTTAGTGGAGGAATATGGGTGCTCTGGAATAGCAGCAACCTGAACTTGGAGCTTATTGATAAGCACAAGCAATTCATCCACCTCAAGTGCATCATAGGAGGGTGTGTGTCTTACCTCTTTACTGCCGTTTATGTGAGTCCTAATGAGCATGACAGAAGGGAGCTTTGGCAAAGATTAAAAGTCATTGAGAGCACCACAAGTGATCCATGGCTTCTTACTGGAGACTTTAACTCCATCACTAAGACCTCAGAGAAACAAGGAGGGGCTCCTTTCAACTTTGTAAAAGTTAGAGCCTTTAATGATTGCATTGATGAGTGTGGATTCATTGACCTGGGATTCACAGGACCCCAATTTACTTGGTTCACTAGTTCAACCAGAATCAAGGAAAGGTTGGACAGAAGTCTGTGTAGTTTGGAATGACAGCAAACCTTCCCAAACACCAATGTGATCCATCTCCCCAAGATGAGATCAGACCACAGACCAATCCTCACCACTACTTCCTCCCCTCATGGTAAAAGGAAGACTGATAGAAGATTTCAGTTCATTGCTGCTTGGCTGGAGCACAAGGAGTTTACCGTTCCTCCAACTGTCATGGAGAACAGGTTGTGACTTCCTACCCTCTCTGAAAACTCTTGTGGATGACGTGCAGAAGTGGAATAAAGATGTTTTTGGAAACATCTTCAAGAGGAAAAGAGAAGGGTTAATACCTTAGTTTGGCCCGAACTATTGGCAAACTTTCTACTTTGGCCCGTGGTATCGGAAATTGCTATTCTGGCCTAAAATATGTAGCATACTTTCTTATTTGGCCCGGAGGCGGGTTTGACCGTCAAATTAGACGGTCAACCGAGTTGACTGTTAGTCAAGGTCCACCTCACTTGCCACATAAGCTATTAGGGAATTGAGGTGGACTTTGAGGTGGACTTTGACTAACGGTCAAATTGGTTGACTGTCTAATTTGACGGTCAAACCCGCCTCCGGGCCAAATAAGAAAGTATGCTACATAGTTTAGGCCAGAATAGCAATTTCCGATACCACGGGCCAAAGTAGAAAGTTGGTCTATAGTTCGGGACAAACTAAGGTATTAACCCAAAAGAGAACTCCTTAACTCCCTAAAATCATTAGAAATGCTCAACGAGAGGAAGCCTTCGAGGAGCTCAATGGTGAAAGAACAGGACATTAGGGGTGAGCTGGAAGAAACTCTTTGGCAGGAGGAGATCCTTTGGAGGCAGAAGTCTAGGGTCAACTGGATTGTAAAAGGGG